ATTTTTATTTTATTTATTTATTTTTTTAATTCTATTCCTTCCTTCCTCCACCTTCTTTTCATTCGTCTTTGTGGCCCGAGCAGCGGCCGGGAGAATTCCGCTTCTTCTGCAAGTTGTACTCCGCCGGCCGCTGCCCCCGCCCCGGGCCGCCCGCAGCGACGCTCCGCTCCCGGCCCGCGCCGTGCCCCGTCCTCATCGCTGCCGTCCCTGCCCTCCTCCCTGCGTAGGTGGAGCGGCCCTGTGTGGGACTCTGCCATTTGGTGTGTTGGTCGTGTGCATGCTCCTTTCTTCGCTCGTCTCCGCGGTGGTGTTTTCCTTTTTCCCCGCTGTTGTTTTTCTTCCCTTTCTCTCCATTATTCGGAGCTCCGCCGTCGGGCGAGCCGCTTCGCGGCCGCAGTTCCGTGGTGCCGGGGCGGGACGGCGCACCTGGGCTCGGGGTGGGTTTGCAGCGGCCGGGTGCGTGAGGTTCTCCCTTCAACTTCTTCTCAAGTGTCAAAAAATGAGGCCGGGAGAAGATGAGCTTCAATATGGAGAGGTTTCCAAGTTCCTAATTCTTGGGGGTGGAGGAAAGAGTGCCATTGGAGAGTGGCTTTTGTTTTCGATTGGTGAACAAATGTCATCGCATTTTGGTCACGTGCTGTAATATTCTTTGTTCGGCTATCAAAGTATGGTATCTACTACACCTGTTCCCACTTTTTAATTGCATGTAACGGTGACTGTCCGCAGACCTGCGGAGAGGCACGCGTCCCTCCCCGCTCCCTTCCTTCCCTCTGCGTGCTGTTTGGGCCTGAGTACCAGCTCCACCATCAACTTTTCTGTGCTATGGGAGGGCTGCATGGACAGGCCCTTGGCGCAGCACCTGCGTGCCAGAGGGCTGCACGGGATGCCGGATAGGGGCAGGCACACACCTGGGCCCGTGGTGTTAGCTTTGCTGGAGTTGCTGTTGCCTGCTGTCAGGGCAGGGGGTGGACAGCCGTGTGCACCACAGGAGGTAATGGGGGCTTGTCATCCTTAGCTGTGTCCTCAGGTGTCAGAAATAAGGGCCTGAGCTGTCTTGTTTACTTTTTGTTTCTGCTTTGTGGCTGTGCTTGCCTGTAACAAGGAGGATACCTTGCTTCTCACATTGGGCTCCTCCGTGCCTGCCCGGTGTGCGTGGAGCAGGGAAATGCTGGGCTTTGATGGGGAGAGGCTTGTTTGGAGCTTAGTTGGCGCAGGTAGTAGCATTTTTCTGAAAGCCTTGGAAGACTAGGACTCTGATGCCTTTATACCCAGTTAACATGTAACGCTGAAACTTCTATGTTAAGTTTGTTGATGCCTGTGCATATATCTCTGTAGTTTGTATCCAAACATTGACACTAAGTTCCTAGTAAGACCCTGCTCTTAAACAATCAAAAAGTTCTTAGAACCACCCATGTTACCTGGAGAAGTTGGTTACCACGCATTAGTAGAAAGATCACAGGGTTTGGGGATTCTGTTTGCATCTGGCATGTTGCACGACAGTTCAGTGGAACTATTTCTTTGAAGGTTTGTTTTTTTTTAATTACTGTTTTTAATAAGGAATTCTGTCACTCAGTAAACGAGACTTTAAATCTGTGTTTGGGGGTGAAAACAAAATGGATTGTGCTTGACTGTGGTAGACACGTTAGATTGTTGTCCGGTAGTTCTTATCATCCAGAAATTTGGGCTGATACGGAGTGAGCATTAAGCAGTGTCCGGATCCTGTGCTGTGTGTGGGACGTCCCTCGGAGGTCTGGAGAGCTGCTTGCCCACAGCAGCAGGAAGGCGCTCACTCAGCACCTGCTGCCAGTGCTGCCCACCCTGCCCCCGGTGTCTGGCCGTACTGAGCCAGGCAGCTTGGAAGTGGGGAGGGGCTGGGGAGGGGCCTTGGCAGTGCCTGTGGGCTGTAGTTCAGAGTGCCACATCAAGGAATATATATATATTTTTTTTTCTTTGGGATTATGTTGCTATTATTCATCTGAAGATTTCTATCTGAAAGCTTTTAATCTCTGCTCTTTTTGTGCATCGTGGTCTGGATTTGTTGTGAGGTGGGAGGAGGCATCAGAAGAGGAGGGTTGTTTTCTTCCTCTAGGGAATGAAAATAGAAAACTTCCCTTCGGAGAACTTAAATAGAGAAAAAGAAGGGAGCTGTGAAAT